CCAAATTGCCAGGGAATCAATGCCACCTGGAGCAGCCCTCCACCAATGACGGGTGGGAGTGGGTGTCTAAACGGCCCAGCTCCCATGATCCCTGGGCGGCCTGGCGTGAGACACGAGCTTCCAGTGCTCCACAGTGGGTTGAGCTCCAGTTACCCACAGATGGTACCCAGCTTGATAACTACCCTTGCCTGGCTTTTTCCTTCTCCTGGTTCATCTTCCCGCTCTTTACCAGTGTACCCTGTGCCTCCCAAATAAATCCTTGTCTGGCCGGGCACAGTGGCTCGCTCCTGTAATCCCAGCTGTTTGAGAGGCCAAGGCAAGAGGATCACTTGAGGCCAGGAGTTTGAGACCAGCCTGGGTAATAAAGCAAGCTCCTGTCTCTGCAAAAAATACAACAAAAATCAGCCGGTCTCGGTGGCTCAGCCTGTAATCCCGCGCCTTGGGAGACTGAGGTGAGTGGATTGCCGGAGCCCACGGGTTTGAGACCCGCCTGGGCAACTTGGTGAAACCTCATCTCTACAGTAAATAAAAAAATTAGCCGGGTGTGGTAGTGCGCGCCTGTAATTCTGGCTACTGGAAGGCTGAGGCGGAAGGATCGCCGGAGCCCAGCGGGTCGAGGCTGTGGTGGCCGGGAGCGGCCACTGCACTCCAGTCTGGACGACAGAGTGAGACTCCAACTCAAAAAAAACAAAAACAAAAAACAAAAATTAGCCAGAGTGGTGGTGCACACCTATATCCCAGCTGCTCTGGAGGCTGAGGCAGGAGGATTGCTTGAGCCCAGGAGCTCAAGGCTGTGGTGAGCTAGAATCATGCCACTGCACTGCAGTCTGGGTGACAGAGTGAGACCCTGACTCAAAAAAAGAAAAGAAAAAAGATCCTTGTCTCAGAGTTTCCTTCTGGAGGAACCCAAATAGAGAAACTTCTAGAAGATGAAGAACACTTGCAGAGAGTGTGCTTTGGTTCTGCATGCACTTGCCTGTGACTTGAGGCCAAGTTACAACCTCTCCCCTAGCCTCAGTTTCCCCATCTGTAAGAAAAGGAAAGCTAAGGACATCTCTCCTGCTTCTTTCAAATGATCAAATGGCCAAGTGACCTCATAGTACTAAGAATCCTGCCCTAACCTATGTGTTCTGCTCTGGTTAATTTAACATGCCAACTTGGCTAGGCTGTGGTACCCAGATATTTGGTCACACCCCACCTGGATGTCATGGGGAAGGTGCATTTTAGGTAATGTTGACATTTAAATCAGTAGACTTTGAGTGAAGCAGGGTATCTGGTATCCTGTGGTGGACCTCACCCAATCAGTTGAAGGCCTTCGGAGAAAACGGACCAGCATTCCCCTCCAAGAAAGAGGGAATCCTGCCAGCAAGCTGTCTTTGGACCTGGGCTGCAATATCTCTTCCCTGGGTCTCCAGCCTGCCTGCCGGCCTGCTGATTCTAGATTTACCAGCCTCCACAACTGCATAAGCTAATTCCTTCAACTCTCTCTCTCCCTCCATATTTATGAACATGTGGATACAGATCTCTCTCTCTCTCTCTCTCTCTCTCTCTCTATATATATATATATATATATATATATTCCCCCCCCCGTTGGTTCTATTTTTCTGCATCTCCGATGCGTAGCACAGAGATTCTGTTGCTCAGCAGACATCTCTTGAATGCATCTGAATCAGGAGATCCAGGGTCTTTTCTTTCCCCCCCAGTAAGGCCTGTGACTAAGCCTTTGCGATCAGCTAGATCTGGCTCGAATCCTGGTTTCTTTTGCTGGCAGCTGTGTGATCTTGGCCAAGTTGCACTGCTTCCCTGAACCGCGGTTTCCCTGCTTACGAAACAGGGCTGAGAATGCCTTCTTCGTGGGGTTGGCAGGGGAACAGTGTGAGATGGAGTGGGTCAGGGACGTAGCCTGGGCCTGCAAAGGGCTCATCACACCATGGTCCACATCACTGGCCGGGAATACACACATAGGGCCTAACACTCTCCGCACGAGGGCGGCTGAGGAAGCACTAGGTTGGGGTAGCCTATCTGAAATCAGAATATGCCAGAAAAATTGAGGTCTGAATTGCTTGAGGCTAGGGAAGAGTGCCTGGTACATGAGTGTTCTAGAAATTGAATTAGGACCGGATGTGGTGGCTCAGGCCTATAATCCCGCACTTAGGAGGCCGAGGTCTCTACCAAATTGTTTTTTTTTTTTTTTAATTTAGCTAGGTGTAGTAGCACGTGCCTGTGGTCCCAGGTTCTGGGGTGGCTGAGGTAGAAGGATCGCCAGAGCCCTAGAGGTCGAGGCTGTGATGAGCCATGACCATGCCACTGCACTGCAGCCTGGGCGACAGAGTGAGACCCCACCTCAATCAATCAATAAATAGCGTGTTGCAACCATGTGAGACCCTGATCAGTGAAAAGCAGGATGAGGGCATGTGGGGACATGTGGCAACCCCGGGTCTGATTGTTCTCCATCTTGGTTTCTGGGTCCTGGACTTTGCAAGGCCAAGAGGAGTGTTTGTTCTAGACCCACAAACCCCCGAGCAGCAACCAAAGGTGCCTGGGCAGCGATTGCCTGGAAGGAGGGAGGCTTGGTGTTATCTGGAGCGCCCGGGAGGAAGGCACTGAAGGGCCAGGCGCCAACCAAACAGGTAGCTCTGCCGACCTCCTGGGACCACGTGGCCCAGCCCCGCCTCCCAGTTTCCTGTGGGGTGTGAACCCACTGAACAAACACATTTCGAAAAAGGGATCACCCAAACCTGACTAAGGAGAGTGGGAGGTGCTGGTGTTACATTTTATTATTTGATTTGATTTCATTTCATTTTGTTTTATTATTTTTTCGAGTTGGAGTCTCACTCCATCGCCCAGGCCGGAGTGCAGTGGCATGATCACGGTCACCCCAGTGTTTACCTGCTGGGCTCAGGCGATCTCCAGGCCGGGTGAGGTGGCTCATGCCTGTAATCCTAGCACTTTGGGAGGCCGAGGTGGGAGGATCGCTTGAAGCCAGGAATTTGAGACCAGCCCGTATAGCACAGCAAGATCTTGTCTCTACAAAAAAATCCAAAAAATTAGTAGGACATGGTGGCACAGACCTGTAGTCCCAGCTACACGGGAGGCTGAGACGGACGGATTGCCTGAGCTCAGGAGGTTAGAGGTTGTAGTGAGCTGTGATCGAGCCACTGCACTCCAACCTGGCCAAGGCTCCACTCAAAAAAAAAAAAAATTGCAACCGGCCTCTTGCCCTGCCCTCCTGGTGGCTTTTATCCCGTTCTGTTTTACCCTCCTTCTGACCCGCTGGCACATGATGTAAATCACTTGCTCACTGGCTGTCTCCCTCCACCAAAGAAAAGGCTCCGTGAAGGCAGGATCTGTATCCGTCTGTTTCCAGCAAATCTGTGAGCCTGTATCAGTGCCTGGCAGTTAGAAGGCCTTCGGTGGGTATTGTTGAATGGGTAAAACTGCTTTGGGGCTTGTCCTCTTTGCAGCTTATTCACAGAAAACCCAAACCCCAAACTGCTGAAGAGGGGGAAAAAAGAGCAAATGAAAACTACCCAGGAGACCTAGAACTTGGGGAGAGCCCAGTTCTCCACTGAGTCCTGTGTGATGTTAGGCAGGTCACACCCCTCTCTGTGCCCCATCTCACCATCTACCAGAGGACTGGATCGGGGGTTCTCTGGGTGCCCCCCAACTCTGACAATTACGGCTCCCTCCTGCCACTTTCCATTAGACACTCAGCCTCGTCCTCATCACATAACCAACTAGAGAAACTGGTTTTATTGCGACCTGCTGTGTAGACACATGGGCACACCAGGCCTGGCCATGTCATCTACTGGTACAGAAATGGGCTTTGAGCCCAGAGCAGGCGGCCGGAATCCAGCCATGCTGGAGGGGCCTTGGGACCTTGGGAGTTTCGTTTGGCCTCTCTGTGCTCAGTGGCCTCATGTATACATGGGGATCGTGATAAGACCCACCTCACCGGGACATTGGCATGAGGCAGGATTTGAACTCAAACCCGCCTGACCCCACAGCCAGGCTCTTAAGGAATGAGGCGAATTATTTCCTTCAAACCAAAGTGCACCACCCCTTTGGGTGCCTCCTGCTGGGGCCTGTCCCCGCCCTATCACCCCCTCCGCTGTTGCCCTCCCAGCAGGTAGAGCCTGCTACCAACAGCCAGGTGCGACCACAGCTCAGGCGTGGGCCACACCTGCCCCATCTGGTGACACCCAGAGGCCTCGAAAAAGGCAGGCAAGCTGGGGGATGCAGAGATTACCAGCTTCCAGGACAGGAAGCTCATCGTCCCCACCCAGCTCCACCAGGGTTGTGATAATAAGCCCATGTGTATCTTGCACTGGAATAGCTGTGACCAGGTCTGAAAAGACATCATGTGGACAGGCAGCCAACGGCCTCCCACTCTACAGCGGGGTACCCTGGGTTCAAGCCCTGGCTCTACCACCCTCTGGATGCAGAACCTCTCTGCACCTCAGTTTCTTCCTCTATGAAATGGGCGTAACAATGGCACCGGCCTCAGCTGCTCTGAGGGCGGAATGAAGGGATGAGAGAAGCCGTCAGTCCATGGCTTGTCCACATGAGGTGAAGAGGAAGGGAACCCCACAGAGAAAACCCCCAGGACAGTGGGGTCAAGGAGGCAGCCTGGGTGGAGAGACTCGTCTGCAGCCCGCTGGACTGTGAGGAGGCCGTGACCTCTGAGCTCAAATCTCCCTGGCTCCCTCGCCATCTCTTCTCTGATGCCCATCTGGCATGGGAGTGAGACTGGCTGGATTAAAGGCCCGCAGCCCTCACGCGGGATGGGCTCCGGTCCGGGGACTCGGGACCACCTCCACCCCCACCCAGGCTTTCTGAGCCCTCTGCCCTTCCCAGGAAACACCGACATCCACTTGGGGCTCAGGGTGAGAGGGGAGGGGCTGGGCCTCCAAGCCCCAGACCGCAGGTGCTGACTCACCGCCTCCGCTGGGCGAATAAAGGAACCAGCCTGGGGCCTCCAAGGGCGAGCTGGCCGCACGATGGCCCAGAGGACGGTGATCCGTGTGGCCCCGGAGCAGCCCGCCCATGCGGTGTGTGTGCTGGGCACCTCGACGCCGCTGGATGTCTACAGGTGACCGGCCTCCTGGGGTGGGGGGAGAGGAGTCGGGTGACGGACCAGCTGTCCGCTGACACAGGAGCACGTGGTTGGCTCCAGCTTCAGCCTCTGTTGCTGCTGCCAGGCCCCCGAGGCCCAGGGAGGGGCTGTACTCACGGCAGCGAGTTCTTTGGGTTCCTGAGACCTCCCCATGCGTGGATGATCGGGGGCAAGCAGCGCCGTCTGTCTTCCTCTCATCATCCGAGCCGCAGAGGACTTGCTCAAGGCCGCACAGCAGGTGTGTCTGGAAGTAAGCCTAGGACTTGGGCTCCCTGACCCGTACCTGGTTCGGGGCACAGTGTGTTTCCCCACACCTCTTAGCCAAGCCTCCCCAGCGGGTGCGTAATCGTGTGGGGGTGATGAAATGGGCTCCAGCGGGGAAGAGACTGAGGTGGGAGGCCTAGGCCTGCTGCTGGCTATGGGTGGGCTTGGGCCACTGAGCCTTGGTTTCCTCATCTGTGAAATGGGTCGATGCCCATGTTACAGGGTGGTTATAGGAATGTGTAAATGTGAAAATGTGCTGGGCCTCCTCCTGTTGTTATTTGCTGTTTATTCCCTCAACAAATGCCAGTTGAGTACCTACTGGGCATGCCAAGCCCTGGGCCAGGCCTTGGGTTGGACGAGACGGCCAAGGAGCGCTCTCAGGGCGTGTGCAGGGTGGCCGTCGCTATTGCTGTTGTCGGTCATGGTCGTGGCTGCCCTGGCCTCCCCCTTCCCAGGCTGGGCATGGGTGATGCTCAGATGGTACCCAAGGTGTGTCTGGGACGTTTCTTTGAGAGCACTGCTCACTGGCCAGGCTTGGTGGCTCAGCCAGTCATACCAGCACTTTGGGAGTCTGAGGCGAATGGATTGTCCAAGCCCACTTTTGAGACCCCCCCGGGCAACTTGGCAAGACCTCGTCTCTACAATAAATAAAAAATTAGCCGGGCATGGTAGTGTGGGCATAGAGTTCTGGCTACTTGGAAGGCTGGGGCGGAAGGATCGCCGGCGCCCAGCAGGTCGAGGCTGCAGTGGACGGGAGTGTGTCCCTGCACTCCAGCCTGGGCGACGGAGTGAGACTCCAATGCAAAAAAAAAAAAAGAAAGTGTCTCTCACTGTCTGAACCCAGGAGCCTGAGAGCTGCAGTGAGTGTCGGGCGGCCTCCCAGGGTGAGGGGAGGCAGGAGGCTGAGAAGCTGGGGTGTAAAGGGAATGCAAGAAGTGTGCCACCAGCCGGGCTCAGTGGCTCAGCCTGCAATCCCGCGCCTTGGGAGCCTGAGGTGAGTGGATTGCCTGAGCCCGCAGGTTCGAGACCCGCCTGGGCAACTTGGCGAGACCTCATCTTACAGTAAATCAAAAAATTAGCTGGGCGTGGTAGCGCAGGCCTATAGTTCCAGCTACTTGGAAGGCTGAGGCGGAAAGATCGCCAGAGACCAGCGGGTTGAGGCTGCGGTGGCCGGGAGTGGCCACTGCACTCCAGTCTGGGCGACAGAGTGAGACCTGGGCCGGAGCTAGCCCAGGGCCCCTGCCTGTGAGTCCAGGTTAAGACGCTCCCTGAGGCTAAGTGGAGGTCAGGGTCACAAGCCCTTCTTCTGGCCCCAGGGAGTTAGCTAGACTGGGCTGAGAAGAAGATGCCACCCACTTCCCCCAGAAAGGATAGGGACTCAGGTCCATGGGAGCCTCAAATCCTCCTCTCCTCCCCCTTTAGCCAGACATTAAGCCCCATCATTCTAGCCTCTGGTTATCTTACAGAACAATGACTAATATCTACATCATGTAGGGCTGGGGATAAGCTCAGCACTTTGGGAGGCCGAGGCAAGAGGACCGCTGGAGTCCAGGAGTTCAAGACCAACCTGGGCAACAAAGTAAGACCTTGTCTCTATTAAAAAATAAAAAACTTACCTGGGTATGGTGGCGTGTACCTGTAGTCCCAGCTTCTTGGGAGGCTGAGGAGGAAGGATCGCCTGAGTCCAGGAGGTCGAGGCTGAGGTATCAGGACCCCTCTGTCACATGCCAGGCCCTTTTTGTCCATGGTTTCTCATCCTCACTGGAATCCTGCAGGTTAAATACAATCATCATGCCCGTTTTAGAGGGGAGTAAACCTAGGATTCAAGAGGTGAATGCAGGCCAGGTTTGGCGGCTCATGCCTGTAATCCTAGCACTTTGGGAGGCCCATACAGGAGGATCACTTGAGCATGTCACTGCGTTCCAGTTGACAGTGAGATCCTGACTTTAAAAAATACACACACACACACACACACACACACACACACACACAACTTTCGACATTTAATTCATTCAGTGGCCTTATGAAGTAGGCCAGTCTGACAGTCCCATTTTGCAGAAGGGAAAACTGAGGATCCGAGAGGTTGAGTAGCTCACCTGAAGCCACACAGCTAATAAGTGGGGGAACCAGGACTCAAGCCCAGGCAGCCTGGCGCCCTCCCCTCCCTGCCAGGCCTAGCTCCGGCCCCTCCTGTCACTTCTCACCTGTCCTGGCTGCTGTCCCAGCCAGCACCTCCCTCCCACCTCTGCCTCCAGTGCAGCCAGCCCCCTCCTCCTGAGCCACAGGTGGGCGTGGCCACGCCCCTCTGCACCCACTCCACTATCTGCATATGCATGTCTCCACACCATTGCTCAAGCTCTGCCTTTGTCCCTGGGCTCAGAGACCCAGGGGTCAGAATGATTAGCTCATCGAGGCAGGAACGGGCACAGGGGTGTGGGTGCCCGTGCCAGAGTGGCTCTTACAAGCTCTGCTGTGAGTTTCGATGTGAGCTGGAGAGTACTTTTCTTGCAAAATACTCTGATTATACACAAACAAAATCCCGGTGACCTGAGATGAATGAACCCGTTAAGGGCTTTCTGTGATGCTGTGGCCGGGCCCAGGGAGGTGTCAGGACCCCTCTGTCACGTGCCAAGCCCTTTTTGTCCATGGTTTCTCATCCTCACTGGAATCCTGCAGGTTAAATACAATCATCATGCCCGTTTTAGAGGGGAGTAAACCTCGGATTCAAGAGGTGAATGCAGGCCAGGTTTGGTGGCTCACGCCTGTAATCCCAGCACTTTGGGAGGCCCATACAGGAGGATCACTTGAGCCCAGGAGTTTGAGACCAGCCTAGACAACATAGCGAGACCTCCTCTCTATAAGAAATCAAAAAATTAGCCAAGCATGGTGGCGCATGCCTGTAGTCCCAGCTACTTGGGAGGCTGAGGTGGAAGGATCTTCTGAGCCCAGGAGGTCAAGGCTTCAGTGAGCTGTGATCATGTCACTGCACTCCAGCCTGGGTAACAGAGTGAGACCCCCCGGCCCCCCCAAAAAAAAGAGAGAGAGGGAGAGATGAGAGAGGCGAAAATGCCACCTCTGGAAGGTGGCAGAACCAGGAGGTTTGAACCCAGGACTGTCTGACCCTGAACCCGCCTTATCTCCCCAGCATACTACACTCTGCCTCAAGGGCCATGGGCTGACGTCCCTGGGCATGGCTCCCTGGGGGGCAGAGCTCATTCAGCTTCCAAAGGGTTCAGGAAAGGCCCCGGTTGGGTGGGGGTCCGGAAGGCAGTGAGTGGTGAGCATTTTGAAGCTGCCATCCACGGGCTCTCCCCTCCCCCACCGGGACTCCCTCTGGACAGGAGACCACGCAGTGTGACAGCAGGGAGCACGGACAAGTCTGTTAGTATCTCTGAGCCTCGGTTTACCCACCTGTAAAATGGAAACGTTAACACCCTCCTGCTGGGATGTGGCAAGGGTAAAATTATGTGACTCGTGCCAGGTGTCCAACAGAGGGGCCCCTTGCCTGCAAGCATCGCACAAGCCTCCACGTGGGAGAGCATGGGAGGTGCTAGATGCAGTCCTGCGGGGTCACAGGCGAGGGAGTGGTGGATGCTGGGGTTGGAGGAATGGCCACTCCGCCCGGCACTCAGGGTCCCAGTGCGGGCTCTGTAGAGGGTGACAGCCGTGACAAGGAGATTCTGCTCTGCATTGTCTCATGACAGCGCACACCTGGGTCACACACACACATGCATGCCCACATGGGTCACACAGGGCACACACATAGGCCACACACATGTATGCACACACAGGTCACACGGCATGCACACATGGGTCACATATGCACACACAGGGTCACACACGTACACACAGGTCACACACATGGCATGCACACATGGGTCACACATGCAGGCACACACGGTCACACACGCACACACACGGGTCCCACCTGCACACATACGCAGGTCACACGCATATGTAAAAAACCCCAGATGCTCATGAACGTTCCTTGCTTAGGAGCCGAGAACATCTGGAGAACATCAGCAGGAAGGCACGCACCTCCTGGAGTCAAATCCCAGGGGCCACTTTCCAGCCAGGCCTCACCCCTTGAGCCTCAGTTTCCCCATCTGGAAGAGAGGGAGGCTGTGAAGGCGGCAGATCCACCTGCTGGTGCCTTCCTCCTTGCTCCTCCTGGGGAAGCTACCAGGGTCAGAGGGAGTCGAGGCGGACCAGTCCACGTGCTGCCCCACTGTGCTCTGAGCTCACTTTCCCGTCGCTGCCCCACACTCTGGCCGCGGCGCTAGCTGGAAGGCCTGGCTCTTTGCCGGGGGTGGTGAGAATGAGGCAAAGCAGCAGACGAGGAGCCAGCAGGGTGAGCCCCAGGGCTTTGGCAGAGAAACAAGGGCCTGGCTTAAGTTTCGACGTGGCCAGGTAAGGGCGAGTCCACGGAGGCTCTGAGCAGAGAGGCCCTGGCCCTGCTGCAGAATGCCCCCCAGCAAAGGCTGAGCCGTTTCCTCCTTTTTTTTTTTTTTTGAGTTGGAGTC